GGCGCGTGCCTGTAATCCCAGCTACTCAGGAGGCTGGGGCAGGAGAATTGCCTGAACCCAGGAGGCGGAGGTTGCGGTGAGCCGAGATCGCGCCATTGCACTCCAGCCTGGGTAACAAGAGTGAAACTCCGTCTCAAAAAATAATAATAATAAAAATAAAAATAAATAAATAAATAAAAATAAAAATGCAAATACAAAAAATATTAGTTGGGTGTGGTGGCCCGCACTTGTAGTCCCAGCTACTGGCGAGGCTGAGGCGGGAGAATCAGTTGAATCTGGGAGGTAGAGTCTGCAGTGAGCTGAGATTGCACCATTGCACTCCAGCCTGGGTGACAGAGTGAGACCTTATCTCAAAAAGAAAGAAAGAAAGATCCTCACTATTATCTTCCCATCCATCTGTCCCGAGCCACAGGCCTGGCAGGTGGTGTGTGCATCCATTGAGCACCTACTGGATATCAAAGCGCTTTACTGGCACCTCCTCCCTCGCCCGTCCTGGAGGCTGGCCCTGTTATTGTTCCTTTACAGATGAAGAAGCAGGCTCAGAGAGTTTACCTGGCATCCTGGAGTCGCAGGAGCACTTTTTCTGGAAGTAGGAGCCCGTTTCCTGCCTGTGCCAGGACAGAAACCAATATTGTTTGTTGGCTGGGGCGTCCCCTGGTGGCCCAATGCAGAACTGCAACCTGGTCCGTGTATGCCTGTGGGGTCTCCCAGCTTCCGGCTGGCTCCAGTCTCACCTCCTGTTCACACACCCTCCATGGCTCCCATAGTCCCCTCGGTGGGGACAGGGGCACTGAATGAAGCCCTGCTCATCACCACGGAGACACCTGAACACAAAACCTCATCTCTAGGGTCAGGCCCAGGCCCTGCCCCCCCACTCCACCACTCAACTGTGTAACCTCAGTTTCCCCAGGTGAGGACTGGACCAGCGATCATGGCCTCTGCCTCTTCAGGTCATGGTACAGATGAATGCAGGCTGGCATGGCCTAGGCACCCAGTAACTCACAGGAGAGGTGCAGGGACTTGAGATGGAGTGTCCCAGGCAGCCACAGCTTCCCTACTACAGGAGGTCTGGCTGGCACCCAATTGGGAAGGGCCCAAGGCCTTTTAAAGCAGGTTTAAAAAAAAGCCCATCTCCTCTCTGGGAAACTGAAACTAAGAGCCTAAGAATCCTCTGCCTGTAGGTGCCCGCCCCCCAGAACTGCTGCTAAGGGTGCTTCCTGGAACTTGCTATTGGTCAGGAGGGCTTCTATGCTAATAACCACGAGGCCCGCCGAAGATTCCAGCACCCTCCTCTAACTCCAGGCCAGACTCCCTCCAGCTATTGGGGAGATCTCGATGGCACCTCCTTTGTTTCACTACCCCCTAGTGCCCATGGATGACTTTCTGAAGCATGAGAGGAGGGAGCGCTGTAAGCTTCTAGTGGGGATAGTTGTGGTGCTCCTTGTCATAGCGGTTGTGACTTTGGGGGTGCTCCTGATCATCTACGTCACAAGGGCCAACAGTGAGGACTGCCAGGCGGGCCACCGGGCAGTGATGGAGTGTCGAAATGTCACCCATTTCCTGGAACAACAGCTGACCCGGGCCCAGGACGGCTTCCGGGATGCTGAGGCCCAGGTCGCCACCTACAACCAGACTGTGGTAAGCATCTCAATTCCTTTGGATGGCCTAGTGCTGGGGGGCGGGGAGCCGAGAAACTCTCCCCAGAAATCTGACACAGGGTGGGTCTTCAGGGAGATGCAGGGGAGGTCTTGAAACTGTTCCAGGGTCCCCACGTCAAGAGACCTAGGTTTACCTATCAGGGTTTGGGGCCTTCTGACCCAGCCCGGGACACTGGTGTAGGGGCAAGGGGTTAAAAGTCCCCAGAGCCCCCAAATCAGGGACCTCAGTATCCCCACTGGGACTTAGGTGAAGTTATAAATTCTTTCCAGGGTGCTGGTATGGGGGGGCTTAAAACTCCTCGTGGGCACCAGTCCTGGGGGAGTAGGAATCCCTGTTCAGGGTTGAATGGGGACCTCGCCAGACTCTGAAAAAGGAGGCTCTTGAAATTTCCACTTCATCCCCGAGAAACTGAAATCTATTCACCCAGCTCCCGATATGGGGGCTCTTGAAACTGTCACTGGGCATGTCACTTGGGCTGGGAAGTCCCACTGCGTTCTGGATTCGGTAGGGCCCTCTAACTTTTCTTGGGCCATCTGGAAATGTCTACTAAAGTTTGGTTATCTAGAGCCTCCAAGTTGCCATGTGGAGGGGGGACTTACACTCATATGGGTGGCGCTGGGTGACAGTGTGGCTGTTCTTCAAGTTTAAAGATCACGGTTCAGAAGAGGGTTGGAAGAAAACCTGAAAAGCGTTTGCATTTAAGCCCCAGGACCTAGGGAGGAGGTCCAGGTCCCAGGGGCAACAGCCCAGGGCCAGAACCCCAGATTCTGACCCTTCCCTCTGTCCTAGATGACCCTAATGGTTTCCCTGGATAAGGAGAAGGCCCATTCCCTGGATGCGGAGAAGAAAGTGGAGGAGCTTGAGGGTAAGGAAGAGGGAAGGGAAGGGGCTAGGGAAGGGTAAGTCAGGAATGGAAGAGAGGGTGGGGGCAGGTAGACCAGAGTTGGAGGTTGGGGTAAGGGGGAGGTCCTGGCTGGGCGCGGTGGCTCACGCCTGTAATCCTAGCACTTTGGGAGGCTGAGGTGGGTGGATCACCTGAGGTCAGGAGTTCAAGACCAGCCTGGCCATCATGGTGAAACCCCATCTTAAAAAAATAAAAGGGAGGCGGAGGTCCTGTCCCAGAGTGGGGCAGGGCCAGAGCCTGACCACGTGCTGACTCGCCCCTGATTGTGTCCTCACACTCCACCAGGAGAGATCACTACATTGAACCAGAAGCTTCAGGACGCCTCTATGGAGGTGGAGCGATTGAGGTCAGAGATAACCTTACCCTCTGCTACCCTCCACCCGCCACACTCCTCTCACCCCCACATTCCTACCCCAAGACCGAGGATCTCCTTGGCTCCCAAAATCCCCATTGCCCCAAGGGGTAAGGTTTGAGTCCCACAAAAGGACAACTTAGCCCCTAGGGTCACAGAGCCCTGGGTGGCGGCCGTCCATTCCCTCCTCAGGGACTTGGATTGGGGCGGTGCGGGGGGAACTCCGGGGGGCGATGGACTTACAGGGAGGGCGGCAGGAGCCAGGTGGGGCAGCTGCCTGATTTGCCCCTGTCTGTACCGCAGGAGGAAAAACCAGGACTTAAGCGCGAGAATCGCGGAGCAGGACTCCGCCAGCTCCCTGAAGGACACCAGCTCCGCGGCGGCGCCCCCGCACCTGATTCTGCTGCTGGGCCTCGGCGCTTGGCTCCTCTGAGATCCCGGGAAGCCGATCAGTGAGAAGGGGGCGGCGGCCCCGGGAGGGAGAAGAAAGCTGGGGAAGGGGAACAGGGAAGCAGGGACTTCGAGGTCTAGAAAGAGTGGCTGCAGGGGAGGGGACTGGGCGCAGAGGAGAGGGATCTTGGGGAGGGAAGGGGAATCCGGTGAGAAGAGAAGGGTGCCCCGGAGCGGGGCGGGGCTTACAGCTGAACGGGGCGGGGCTATCAATGGGAGGGAAGGGGAATCCAGTGAGAAGAGAAGGGTGGCCCGGAGCGGGGCGGGGCTTACAGCTGAACGGGGCGGGGCTATCAATGGGAGGGAAGGGGAATCCAGTGAGAAGAGAAGGGTGCTCCGGAGCGGGGCGGGGCTTGCAGCTATGTGGGCGGGGCCATCAATTGGGGCGTGTCTATCGACGGAGGGCGGGGTATATAAATGGCGGGGGGCGGGTCTATCGATGGGGGCGGGGCCAGTGTCTGCTTCCTCGAGTCGGCCCTTAGTGTCTCTTCTGGTCCTTCAGGCACAGCTTGGAAGGGCCGGTTCCTGCTCAGCTTTTCGCTTGGATAATCCCGTGATCTCATCGGTTCTGGGAGGGTCATGGGGCAGCAGGTCTGGAAGGGCCCTGGGGCAGTCCTGGGTGTGGGGACACAGAGCTGCCTCCCTCCAGAGCCGGGCAGGGAATGATTCCCTCCTCTTGTCTCCCGCCCTGAGTTTGGGCATGGGGTGCGGTAGGGTAGCACCTGCTGCCTAATACGGTTTTTTTTGGGGGGAGGTGCTTTTTTCTGGAGTCTTTGAGCTCCAAAAATAAACGCTTCCTTTGGGGGTGCATACCTTACTTGAGTTTCTGGAGTGTCATTGTGTTAGTCCCCAAGCGTCTGGGGCCTCCCCTGCAGGTGACGGTGGATCCCCGTTGACGTCAACACCTCGCCTTCCCTGCCCCAGGGCGTTTTCAGGAGCCCACGGAGTTCGGGCAGGCACCACCCCAGTTCCTCCCAGCCCTCTTCTCTGCTGGGATCCACGTAAGGATGGACTACGCACCCTCATCAGGACTCACCCTTTTCCCGGTGTTATATTCTCATTTCCTCCCTACAGCCTTTCCTGATGCCTGGGGCTCCAGGGAGGAAACTGAGGCTGTATCTGAGAGAAACCTTGTCTTGCTTCCCTCCCGCCTGCAGAAAATGCTGGGCTGGGATTTAAACCGGGATCTGTACACCCATACAGGCGATAACTTCGTCAGAAATTTCCCCCTCCTTCATCCCCCAAACTCTCTTTTTCTTTTTTGAGACAGAGCTTCACTCCTGCTACCCAGATTGGAATGCAATGGCGCAGTCTCGGCTCACCACAGCCTCTGCCTCCTGGGTTCGAGTGATTCTCCTGCCTCAGCCTCCCCAGTAGCTAGGATTACAGGCATGCACCACCATGCCCAGCGAATTTTTTTGTATTTTTAGTAGAGACACAGTTTCTCCATGTTGGTCCGGCTGGTCTCGAACTCCCGACCTCAGGTGATCCACCTGCCTCGGCTTCCCAAAATGCTGGGATTACAGCCATGAGCCACCAGCCCCCATTTTTTTTTAAACAGAATTTTTCGGCTGGGCACAGTGGCTCGCACCTGTAATCCCAGCACTTTGGGAGGCCGAGATAGGTGGATCACGAGGTCAGGAGCTCAAGACCAGCCTGGCCCACATGGTGAAACCCCATCTCTATTTTTGAAAAAAGAAAAAAAAAAAAGAATTTTTCTCTGTCGCCCAGGCTGGTGTAGAGTGGCGAAATCTCGACTGACTGCAACCTCTGCTTCCTGGGTTCAAGTGATTATCATGCCTCAGCCTTCCGAGTAGCCGGGATTACAGGACTGCACCACCATACCCAGCTAATTTTTGTATTTTTAGTGGAGACTGGGGTTTCATCATGTTGGCCAGGCTGGTCTCCAACTCCTGACCTACCCACCTTGCTCTCCCAAAGTGCTGGGATTACAGACATGAGCCATCGCACCCGGCTCCATTCGCCAAACGCTTACTCATTCTGCAGTACCCAGCCCTGGGAACTCCTCCCCCAGAGAGTCTCTCTGCTTCTTCACAGCTGAGGGCTGCAATCCCAACAGACCTTTCGCCTACCTTGTTGGTCCTTGAAGGCCCCATAGTCACTTCCCTCTCTGTTATCTTCCTTCCTCCAAGTTCTCTCGGAAGCCCAGCTATTGTTTCTGCAACTGCAACTTCCTGTTTGCAGTAATGGGGCCAGAAGCCCCTTGTCCCAGACTTCTGCACTGTCCTCAGTCCCATAGTCCCTGGCCCAGATGGTCAGTGGGATTCAAAAAAAAAAAAAAAAAAAAAAAAAAGCCGGCCAGCCTCGGTGGCTCATTGGCTCATGACTATAATCCCAACACTTTGGGAGGCCAAGGCGGGCGGCTGGATCACGAGGTCAAGAGATTGAGACCATCCTGGTCAACATGATGAAACCCCATCTCTACTAAAAATACAAAAAAAATTAGCTGGGCATGGTGGCACATGCCTGTAGTCCCAGCCACTTGGGAGGCTGAGGCGGGAGAATTGCTTGAACCCAGGAAGCGGAGGTTGCGGTGAGCTGAGATCGTGCCATTGCACTTCAGCCTGGGTGACAAGAGCGAAACTCCGTCTCAAAAAAAAAAAGCCCTCTGGCCAGTCACAGTGGCTCATGCCAGTAATCCCAGCACTTTGGGAGGCCAAGGCTGGTGGATCACTTGAGCTCAGTTCGAGACCAGCCTGGCCAACATGGTGAAACCCCATCTCTATTAAAAATACAAAAAATTAGCTGGGGGTGATGGCACGTGCTATGGTCCCAGCTACACAGGAGGCTGAGGCAGGAGAATAGTTTGAACCTAGGAGGTGGAGGTTGCAGTGAACTGCGATTGAGCCTCCACACTCCTGCCTGGGCGACAGAGTAAGACGGCTTTAAAAAAAAAAAAATAGGCTTCCACCTCTCTCAGGGAGAGGGTCCCCAAATACCTCCCCTGCCCCAGGCCCCCCGGGCCCTGTCGCCCTCACTTCCCCTTGCTCACCGCCTCCACCTTTCCTTGTGCCATCCTCCTTTTTGCCCCAAGGCCTTTGCCCAAGCTCCGCCTGCTGCCTGGAGCGCCCGTTCCCCACTCCCAAGGGTCTCAGCCTCAGCACTGTTGGTGGTTTGGGCTGGATGGTTCTCTGGGTGGGGACCAAACTGGTGGATTGTGGGATTTTTTTTTGCTTTGGTGTTGGTGTTTTTTGTTTGTTTGTTTGTTTGTTTTTGAGACGAGTCTCACTCTGTCGCCCAGGCTGGAGTGCAATGGCGTGATCTTGGCTCACTGCAACCTCCACCTCCTGGGTTCAAGCAATTCTCCTGTCTCAGCGTCCTTAGTAGCTAGGATTACAGGCACTTGCCATCATGCCCAGCTAATTTTTGTATTTTTAGTAGAGACCGGGTCTCTCCATGTTGGTCAGGTTGGTCTCGAACTCTCAACCTCAGGTGATCCGCCCACCTCGGCCTCCCCAAGTGCTGGGATTACAGGCATGAGCCACCACTCCTGGCCTCTTTCTTTTTTTGCTTCTTTCTTTTTTGAGATGGAGTCTCACTCTGTCACCCAGGCTGGAGTGCAATGTCACAACCTCGGCTCACTGCAACCCTTGCCTCCTGGGTTCAAGTGATTCTTCTGCCTCAGCCTCCCAAGTAGCTGGGATTACAGGCATGCCCCACCATGCCCAGCTAATTTTTTTTTTTCTGTATTTTTAGTAGAGATGGGGTTTCACCATGTTGCCCAGGCTGGTCTCGAACTCCTGACCTCATGTGATCTGCCCATCTTGGCCTCTGCAGGGGCGTGAGCCCCTGCATCCTGCCTGGCTGTTGGGATTTTTGACATGAACAGCTCTTTGAGAGGCTGAGGTGGGCAGGTCACTTGAGGTCAGGAGTTCAAGACCAGCTTGGCCAACACAGTGAAACCCCATCTCTACTAAAAATACAAAAATTAGCCAGGCATGATGGTGTGCACCTGTAATCCCAGCTACTCAGGAGGCTGAGGCAGGAGAATCGCTTCAACCAGTGAGGCGGAGTTCCAGTGAGCCGAGATCGGGCCATTGCACTCCAGCCTGGGCAACAAAATAAACAAGATTTAAAAAGAATGGGAAAAACATAACCCCAAACGATAGCCAAGCACCTTCTTTGCAGATGCGGTCTTCGGGGCTTTCCACAAATGTGCTGGCTTGATCCCTACCAAACCCTACCGAGCAGGAGTTAATAGTCTCCCCCTTTCACCGAGGAGAAAACTGAGGCATAGAGGAGGGCAGCACGCTCGGGATGCAGGAACTCACGACCCCTAGTTCTTTCTTGGGCTTGACGGGATGGACCAGCCCCTGCAGGGGTCCAACCCCTCCCAACGGACTCGGGTAGCCACGGCCAGGCTGGGCGGAACCGTGGGTGTCCCTGGCGCCCCAAGGTGCCAATTAAATGCTCGTGGCCGTCTGGGGCCAGAGCTGTGGACGGCAGCATGGCCGAGCTGGGGCCGGAGCCCGGGCGTGCCTGGCGGGTGCTCGCCCTGTGCGGGGTGGCTGTGTTCTTGGCTGCGGCGGCAGCCGGCGGGGCCCTGGTAGCCTGGAATCTGGCCGCCTCGGCCGCTCGGGGACCTCGCTGCCCGGAGCCAGGGGTCAATGCCACAGCGCCGCCCGAGGACCCGCCGCCTGGGGTCGATGAGCTGCGACGCCGGCTGGCAGAGGCTGCCGAGCGGGAGGAGGCCCTAGCCAGGCAGCTGGACCAGGCAGAAGGTATCCGGCGTGAGCTGGAGAAGGCATTAAAGGCCTGTGAGGGCCGCCAGGTAGGTGGGCCAGGTGGAGGGGAGCTTGGGAATCCAGAATATTGGGGTAAGAGAGGGCCTGCCCACACATCCCCAGGTTTCCCTCCCTGTGCCTCGGTTTCCCCAGTTCCTCAAATTGAGAAGGCATTGAGAATAGCACCCTAATGCCTTCCAACTCTTATGATGTTAGTTCACCATGGAGTCTAACTTCTGGTCAAAAACGTGGATAACCTGAGGTCAGGAGTTCAAAACCAGTCTGGCCAACGTAGCGAAACCCGTCTCTACTGAAAATACAAACATTAGCCAGGCGTGATGGTGCACACCTGTAATTCCACCTACTCGGAAGGTTGAGGCAGGAGAATCACTTGAACCCGGGAGGTGGAGGTTGCAGTGAGCTGAGATCGTGCCACTGCACTCCAGCCTGGACAGCAGAATGAGATTCCGTCTCTGAAAAAAAAAAAAAGAGCCTCACTGTCCTCTGCCATTTGCCAGACAAATGGTGTCTAGAGAGACCCCAGACCACCCGAGGCCCTCCCTCATGCCCCCATGTCCCCACTCAGCCCCACTCCAGCCAGTTTCCAGCAGCCCTATTTTGAGAGCAGGACACACAAGTCACCTGTAATTAGGAGGCTAAAGTTGGCCTCTTGGGGGAGGTACCTGCTAGATCCTCCTTTTCCTCTGGCTCACCCTTCAGACTTTTTCTTAACCCTTTCCAGCCCTGAGCCTGCCAAAAGAACTGTCCTAAAAATCCCAACCATTTCCATTTATGGAGTGACTACTGTATACCTCTGTGTACACCTCCCACTGCACCCCACCCTCCTAGTCCAGCCAAGGTAGGGCAACATATGAATTTTAAAAATTAGAATGGGGCCGGGAGCGAGCGGTGGCTCACGCCTGTAATCCTAGCACTTTGGGAGGCCAAGGTGGGTGGACATTTGAGGTCATGAGTTCAAGACCAGCCTGGCCAATGTGGTAAAACCCTGTCTCTAGTAAAACTACAAAAATCAGCCGGGTGTGGTGGCAGGCGCCTGTAATCCCAGACAGAG